GAACCTTGATATGTCCTCAACATCAAAAAACGAAAGGTTTGTTTATCAACCTGGTGCGCCTGCGTTTTTGCGTAAACCCTAGTGTGTCCTAAACTTCAAAAACGACGGGATTTTTGTAAGCCTGGGTGTGCCCCCATCCTCGAAAACGAAGGTGTGTTTGTAAACACGTTCAAGCGAAAGGGTTTTAATTTGTTGTAAACCCTAGCATAGGGTTTTTGTCAGCCCTAGCGTGCCCTCAACCTCAAAAACGAAAGCTCCTTTTAAATATTAAAATCTCTTAACATCCTTAAAACCTAGAAAATTTCAGCGTAGAAGAAGGCAAGGATTTTTCAAATTTAAAAAGGTGTCCCGGGGTCTCAGGGTTAGGGGGTAGGCGCTGAGGCTCTTAGGAGCTTAGGAGCTTAGGGTTTAGGGTTTAGGGTTTAGGTTTAAGGATTTCGGAGCCTAGGAGTATAGGGTTTGATTTAAGGTTTAAGGGTAGGCGCTTAGGCGCTTAGGAGCTTAGGAGCTTAGGAGGGTTTAAGGATTTAGGGGGTAGGCACTTAGGTGCTTAGGACCTCAGGAGCTTAGGGTTTAGGGTTTAAGGGTTTAGGGGTTTAGGGGTTTAGGGGGTAGGCGCCGAGGAGCTTAGGAGCTTTGGAGCTTAGGGTTTAAGGATCTACTAGTGCAGGGGGTAGCTTAGGAACTGGTTTAAGGTTTTAAGGGTTGAAGAAGTAGGCGCTTAGGCGCCTAGGAGCTTGATTTAAAATAGAAGAAAATCCTTAAAATCCGTAAAAAATAAAATCCGAGGCGCCGAATTTGGTTTTAGGAGAAGCCCCAAACGATTTAAATTTTTAAAAATCCTTAAAATCCATAAAAAATAAAATCAAAATAATTTATTTTTTAAGGATTTTAAGGATTTTCTTCTATTTTAAAATGCATAAAATCCTTAAAAAATAAAATCAGAGGCCGAATTTATTTTTTAAGGATTTTATGCATTTTAAAATAGAAGAAAATCCTTAAAATCCTTAAAAAATAAAATCCGAGGCCGAATTTGGTTTTAGGAGAAGCCCCAAACGATTTAAATTTTTAAAAATCCTTAAAATCCATAAAAAATAAAATCAAAATAATTTGTTTTTAAGGATTTTAAGGATTTTATTCGATTTTAAAATGCATAAAATCCTTAAAAAATAAATTCGGCCTCTGATTTTATTGTTTAAGGATTTTATGCATTTTAAAATAGGAGAAAGGCCGAATTTGGTTTTAGGAGAAGCCCCAAACGATTTAAATTTTTAAAAATCCTTAAAATCCATAAAAAAAATAAAATCAAAATAATTTATTTTTTAAGGATTTTAAGGATTTTCTTCTATTTTAAAATGCATAAAATCCTTAAAAAAATAAATTCGGCCTCTGATTTTATTTTTTAAGGATTTTATGCATTTTAAAATAGAAGAAAATCCTTAAAATCCTTAAAAAATAAAATCCGAGGCCGAATTTGGTTTTAGGAGAAGCCCCAAACGATTTAAATTTTTAAAAATCCTTAAAATCCATAAAAAATAAAATCAAAATAATTTATTTTTTAAGGATTTTAAGGATTTTATTCGATTTTAAAATGCATAAAATCCTTAAAAAATAAATTCGGCCTCTGATTTTTTTTTAAGGATTTTATGCATTTTAAAATAGAAGAAAATCCTTAAAATCCTTAAAAAATAAAATCCGAGGCCGAATTTGGTTTTAGGAGAAGCCCCAAACGATTTAAATTCTTAAAAATCCTGAAAATCCATTAAAAAAAAAAATCAAAATAATTTATTTTTTAAGGATTTTAAGGATTTTATTCGATTTTAAAATGCATAAAATCCTTAAAAAATAAATTCGGCCTCTGATATTATTTTTTAAGGATTTTATGCATTTTAAAATAGAAGAAAATCCTTAAAAGCCTTAAAAAATATATTATTTTGATTTTATTTTTTATGGATTTTAAGGATTTTTAAAAATTTAAATCGTTTGGGGCTTCTCCTAAAACCAAATTCGGCCTCGGATTTTATTTTTTTAAGGATTTTAAGGATTTTCTTCTATTTTAAAATGCATAAAATCCTTAAAAAATAATATCAGAGGCCGAATTGATTTTTTAAGGATTTTATGCATTTTAAAATCGAATAAAATCCTTAAAATCCTTAAAAAATAAATTATTTTGATTTTATTTTTTATGGATTTTAAGGATTTTTAAAAATTTAAATCGTTTGGGGCTTCTCCTAAAGCCAAATTCGGCCTCGGATTTTATTTTTTAAGGATTTTAAGGATTTTCTTCTATTTTAAAATGCATAAAATCCTTACAAAAATAAAATCAGAGGCCGAATTTATTTTTTAAGGATTTTATGCATTTTAAAATCGAATAAAATCCTTAAAATCCTTAAAAAATAAATTATTTTGATTTTATTTTTTATGGATTTTAAGGGTTTTTAAAAATTTAAATCGTTTGGGGCTTCTCCTAAAACCAAATTCGGCGCCTCGGATTTTGTTTTTTACGGATTTTAAGGATTTTCTTCTATTTTAAAATGCATAATATCCTTAAAAAAATAAAATCAGAGGCCGAATTTATTTTTTAAGGATTTTATGCATTTTAAAATCGAATAAAATCCTTAAAATCCTTAAAAAATAAATTATTTTGATTTTATTTTTTATGGATTTTAAGGATTTTTAAAAATTTAAATCGTTTGGGGCTTCTCCTAAAACCAAATTCGGCGCCTCGGATTTTATTTTTTACGGATTTTAAGGATTTTCTTCTATTTTAAAATGCATAATATCCTTAAAACATAAAATCCCAGAAGTCCTTGAGGTCGAGGCCAAGCGCAGCGCCAAATAGACCCTAAAGGTCCTACGTACATAAGGGTACCCTTTTTGGTATTGAGGGCATTATAAGGGAACCCCAACCCAAAAACAAAGGACAAAAAGGGCCTGCTCCCGGCCCTAGATAAGCTGCCGGCTAGTGTTTCTTTATTGGGATTTGCTGGGCTTACATGGGGGTTCATGGGTGGTTGAAAGTAGGGTTAGAAGTATCCTATAAGTAAGGATATAAGTACAAATTACTACCCTACTCATAGCCCTACCTCTAAATACCCATGAACCTCCAAGTGCCGTAAGACCGGGTCTTCAAAGTTTCGTGAAACCGGGTAGACTGGGGTCTACAGGAAGAGCTCTTACTAGACATTTTTCCAGAAACCTATAAGCAGGGCCTTCTTTTTGAACTAGCAATCTGAAAAGCTCAGGGCAGCTAACCAGTTTCGGTCGGCCAGGCTGCGGGAAAGTCATGACTGGGGTTGTTGAGTCCACAAAAGCCCTCAAAACCGGTAGAGCCCAGGATATGGCGCTTCCCCCCGAAAGCCCACAGTATGCTATAAGGACAGGCTCGAGCTCTCGCAGACTTGCAGCGCTTAAGTCCATATCTCAAGTATTCCAGCAGGTGGCCAAGTATCTTCGTGTTGTAAGGGGCTTTGTGTCCAGTCTTCCTTTGCATGCTCTCTAAGTACACATGATGCTTCTGGGAGGGGGAGACTCCACCGCCTATGACCTCGAACGAATTCCCCTAAACCCTAAACCCAAACCCTAAACCCTAAACCCGGAACCCTAAACCCCAAACCCTAAAACCCTAAACCCGGAACCCTAAACCCCAAACCCTAAACCCTAAACCCTTCTTCAAAGAGTTTCGGAAGGTAAAGGATTGGGATGCTCCCCCGATAAGATATCAGCGTCGAATTTTTGGGAAGGTATTTAGGGGGACTGGTGCTACAAGGGGGATCATGCCAAGCTCAAGGTTTCGAGATCGCGGTTCCCTTGACTTCGTGGGATTTCGTGAGAACCCACAGGCATGTGGTCCCTTTTCCGTGCGTAGTATATAAACGACCGCGCGCATGCGGGACTCAACGGGGACATGCAAAATCGAGACCTCGCCCTCAAATCGGACCGTATCAAATACGACTGCCCTCGACCTAGCCCTGAGCTTGCTCAAGCCTATCAACTTTCTGACGAAACCTCCAAAAAAGCGCCCCTTCAAAAAAGGATAAACCTAACCTGCTTTCGCGCCAAGATCCTGAAGGCCTTCGAGACTCCATATTATAAGGCCCCAAACGCTGGGTTTAGGTTGTTTAGGATCTGTCCGAACCCCTGAAACTGTCAAAGCTCCCCTTTTCTCATCAGACGCAGGCGAGGAGAAGGGATCCGTACCTTGCTCAGGAGGCTTATAGGCGTTGCAGCTTAGGGCGGTTTAAGGCTACGGGCTGAAAGATTCGGCATTTCAGTCGGGGCGGTCTGGGGCTCCTGGGTTTTAGACAAGCTCTCACCGCCTACCGCTGTGTCTTTCTCACGCAGGCTGTTGCAGGCTGAGCGAAAGCATGTGTAAAGGCTACACTATAAGCTCCATAACCCCCAACCGCGCTTGACTTGAGTGAAGATTTGCCGAACTGAGGCGCAGGTGCTCATTGGGGGTTGGGGCACCTCCAGCTTCAAAAGCAATCCTACACCATGCACGGATCAGTACATGGGAACCTTAGGGGGTATGCATGCCTTCAGCAACCAAAACCCCCCAACAAAAAGAAGGTTCCCGGTTCTCGAAACCAAAACCGGGATTTGCAGGGCCAAAACAAAGCCGACGGTTTTTTTGTTTATGGGTTTTCGATGGGTTTTTACGGGTTTGCCGACGGGTATTTACGGGTTCTATCCGTCATTATTTTGCAAGAACCCGGTTTTGTTAGTCAAAACCAGGTTTTGACAAAATCTTCCGGAAACCCCGGTTTCGGGTGCCGAACGCTCAAGGTGAGTCTTAGCCCCTTGAGCTAAGCTGTTGAAAGGGTCTCTGGGAGTCTCCACGCTGAATTCCCGATGTGGAAGGGCACCGCTCGCTTGCTTTTTCTGCTGAAAGCACCTGCACTCACGAAAGCTGCAATAAAGCTATAAGTCGGGAGTCGGCCAGACCCGCGGCATGACCGTCATGTAGGCAGTGTAGGATGCCTCGCCCGGAGGCACGGTCACTTCGACAACAGCGAGTGGACGATGCTGCTCTCGCCTTGATGGAGATACGCGAAGGGGCAACGCGGGCGGGAGCCCGTTTCGAGCAGTGAGCCCCCGGTGTGCTGGGCATCGTTCATCATCTCGGACACGCCGGCTGGATTGTAGCCACCAGCCCACGCATTCTGCCCAAGACCGGAGTCCTTCTCCCCCGGATCCACATCACTGTACCTAGTTCATGGTTGGGACAATATTAAAAGAACAAATGTTTATTCCTGATTGGGTTTGAGTACTCTTAACAATTTGACATGGTAACCAACTATGGCTAAGGTACCGGTTGTTGGCACCCTCGTCAAACCAGAAGTCCGGATCGTCAACAATTGGCTTCCAATCTTCCCGAATCATCAGGTCATTTTCGAACCTGTCATGTCCTGAGTGCTCACATCCTGGCAAAAAGAAGTGCAGCCAAGGCTCAACCTAACCTCAAACAGAGACAAAGGGGCACAGCGACACACTGACACAGAGTGGTAGCAACAACAACATACTTCATCCTCTGCAAACATAGCAATTAGTCCAGAACCATGAAAGCACTGTTCAACGCCTTTCTTCCCAAAGTCCCGGTTAGCCTGCAATCTGCAATTTTAAATTGCCATTGCGGTTGAAGCTCGGAAGAAGAGCTCCGTGTCTCCGAACTTCGTCTTGCGGAACTCGGTGCGCAAACTCACCATTCCGATCTTCGTGAGATTTGTCTTGGGCTCTGGGGCAGCCCAGATTTCGTAGAGGTCCGACAGGGCCGGCCTGTCATGAGTCATGAGCCCCCGTTCCATGCGAAGGACAGGGCTGTCTAGCCCACGGGACAACAATCTTTTGTGGAGTAGGTCCACTCATATGCAGGTTCAGTACTGTGTTCTATAAGATCTACTGCCATGACTTGCAGAAACAGGAAAGAAGCTTGGCATCGTTAGGCCAAGACACAGGAAGCCCAGCTGCTCTTGAATGTGCTCGAACTTCTCATGCTTGAACTCCTCGAAGTGCTCGCGAATGATGTCAGTAGGCCGCAGGCACAGCACGAACGGGAACTTCGTATGTTCTGGTAGCAGCCCAGGCCCCTCCGCCCATTGCGACAAGCCGGTGGTGAAGGGGTACTTCGAGGCTGTCTCAAACGACTTGAGGAGCAGCTTCTCGGCAAATCCCTTGTCCCGGAAATCCGACAGCTTGTTGCACAGCATGTGCTCAAACTGACTGAAGCCCTTCCTTACTGCGCACTCAACTTGCAAGAAACCTGCTGCGCACCACAGGCGCAGCAACCCTATAATCACTTCAAATCCCTGCAAGACGGGCTTCTGGCCCCGAAGGGAGTACAGCATGAAGGAGTTCACGCTCTCCTCGTTGTCACGGAAGACCTTCAGCGCCGCGCCCGGCGCCATCCCGTCCGCCTTGGGAGCTCCCGCTGGCCCAATGCGAATGAGCGCATTCCTTTGGGCGGTGTGGGTGTCAACACTTGAGGGGCTCAGGCTTAATTTCGCACAGGCCCGCCATTGAGTTTCAACAGGGGCTTCGGAAGCAACCCTAAACCCCAAACCCTAAACCCTAAACCCCCACAAAAGAGGTTAAAACAGCTACCCGTCGCTCCCCTAAGCTTCTCTTGCGTCGCGGTGAATAGGCCCGTGTATCCAGCCTCTTGGATGGCATCCTCAAACCAAGCCTGAACACAGGGATTTGGGGTTCTAAGTTAGGGTCTAGGGTCTAGGGTCTAGGGTCTAGGGTCTAGGGTCTAGGGTCTAGGGTCTAGGGTTTAGGGTTTAGGGTTTAGGGTTTAGGGTTTAGGGTTTAGAGTTATTAGGTTGTCTCGTAGGGTTCATGTCGGGTTGTCCCGCAAGAAGTGCCACCTATGGACATTTCAGGAACGAAGAAATATTCGGGTCACCACACAAAACGCAAAATCAAGCACTGGGTTTTTTTCCATTCCACTGGTTTCGATGTTGGGGTTGCGGATGTTCTGGCATCTCCACTTCCGGGCCCTGGAGCAGTCGGGGCTTGGCCAACCCAATTCACAAAAATCACCAAGACTTGCGCTCAGCACGAGCAACCTCAACCCTAAAAAGCTCTGCAAGGACTCTCATTTCCACGGTTTAGGGTTTAGGGTTTAGGGTTTAGGGTTTAGGGTTTAGGGTTGGGGGACCAACTTAAGTCATTGCCGCGAAGCTAGCTGGACGACAGCGACGGAGCCGATGGGGTGGATGGCCTTGATGTGGCCTGGGGGCAGGCCAACATCCTCCAGGGCCCGAGGCGGTCTGCAGGAGCCTAAACCCTAAACAGCCTAAACCCTACAAACCGTAAACCCTAAACCCTAAAGCCTTCGCATCCTTCAGCCCCAGACATCCCTGAGCCGCAAACCCGCCTTTCAACTCCTAAGCCACTACACCTGCCGTGCAGCAGTCCTGGCGCCACGTGAAAGTGGTTGTCAAGTCCTCCACGAAGTACCTGCTGCAGAGGCCGACAGCTAGCGAAACCCTGAAGCGTGAACGTCAATGCCCGCATCCGCCTCAACCATATTGTATTGGACATGGAACCGCCGTGAAGAAACAAACTATAACAGAAGCATCCCACCGTGATGGTCTTTACAAGGTGCTTTGCTCATGTCCCGTTGCGACCGGCCGCGCTTGTTGTCTTGGATTGCGTTTCGTTGCGCTTTTGTGATTCTCGTGGTGTCGGCCTTCCTCGAAAAACTTTTGGGCCCGTGCATCGACGGAGTGCTTCAGGTCTTAGAGGGTGTGGTATATGTAAACCCAAAACCCAAAAACCCAAAAACCCAAAACCCTAAACCCTAAACCCTAAACCTATAGGGGGGTGCAGGAGGGTTTGGTTCTGATTGGCCTTGGCTGGTCGGGGATTGCTTGTTCCATGTGCGTCCCGAGCGTCCCCCTGGCACTGGAACTTGCATCCTACCCGCCCCTGAACCCCCTCAGAGCCCTAAACCCTCCCTAAAGCCCTAAACCCCAAGCTCCCTCAACCCTAAACCCTAAACCCTAAACCCTAAACCCTAAACCCTAAACCCTAAACCCTAAACCCTAAACCCTAAACCCTAAACCCTAAGCCCTCCCCCCCCCCCACTCTGCGGAGGCGCTTCAGGAGATGGCCCAGGATGGGGATCTCTCCCACCGCGGACATCAGCTTCAGCGGGGCCAAGGCCGAAGGCGCCGCCCCGGGCTCGTTGTCGTCCTTGGGGGGGGGGGGGGTTTAAGGGGTTTAGGGTTAGGGTTTAGGGTTTAGGGTTTTAGGGTTTAGGGTTAGGGTTTAGGGTTTAGGTTTAGGGGTTTAGGGTTTAGGGTTTAGGGTTTAGGGTTTAGGGTTTAGGGTTTAGGGTTTAGGGTTTAGGGTTTAGGGTTTAGGGTTTAGGGTTTAGGGTTTAGGGTTTAGGGTTTAGGGCTTGGGGAACTCTACTCTCTGAGTAGCCTTTTGCACCCCAAGGTTTGTGGGTAGGGCTTAGGGTTTAAGGGTTGAAGGGTAATAGATATGCCCGAGAACTTAAAGATGGGCCCTACACAACACCCTATACACTCAACACTAAACCCTAAACCCGGATCCATAAAGAAGCAGCCTAGAAGGGGCAAACGAAGCATATCTGAAGTGCGAACCGCGTCTCTCTCGAAACCTGGAGTTTGGGTTTAGGGTTCAGGGTTCAAGGTTCAGGGTTCAGGGTTTAGGGTTTAGGGTTTAGCCAGGTTGCGTTTTTGAACATTTTAGGCCTCACAGGGTCTGTGGCTTTCTGTTTTGGCTGTTCAGGTGCATCAAGGCGTTGAAAGGTCAGTGTTGCTTAAGGTAGTTTAGGGTGCGGAGTAGCCAGAAACACATCCTCAACATCTCGACCGCGCAAACATGTTCCCTAAACCCCAAACCCCCAAACCCCAAACCCTAAACCCCAAACCCTAACCCTAAACCCTAAACCCCAAACCCTAAACCCCAAACCCTAAACCCGAAACCCTGCGAGCAACCGAACGCCAGATCTGCGAGAGCTTTGACTGCGCCGACTCGGGGTCGGAGTTGCCCTGTATTCCTTACTGTCGTCTTAAGAGGTTTAGGGTTTAGGGGTTATAGGGTTTAGGGTTTAGGGTTTAGGGTTCGGGGTTTGGGGTTAGGGGTCGTCTTAAGGGCTTGAGCTTCGGTCGTGAAAAAAAAAGCAACGTGGTGACTTCTCTAAATTCGGGCCCCTTTTGGGGTCCTTATTCTAAGGCGGCCCTTTAGGAAGGGACGATCATTTTGAGAACTAGGCCTGATGGGTTTAGGGTAACCTCAAGAAATGTGAACTTGGTGTTTCGACCTGCAGCTCCAGTTCTGCGAGGTTTTGGGATTGCGCAGGGCTTAGGCTTCTGGTTTTTGGTTGGTTTTGGCAGGAACCTTGGCATAAAAGGAACAGCATAACTTTTGAGGAATCTCATGCAGGGCACCCTAGTTTCGGGTTGAAGCGGATTCGTTTAGGGCTTTCGGTAGGGATGTAGGCGATTTCTTCCAAGAGTCCCATGTGTGACATGTGCGGAGTGGAGCGCACGGCCGCCGCCGCCGGCAGCAATGTGGCAAAAAACACAAAGCGGGCCATGAAGCGAAATGGATTTAGCAAAGAAGGAGGGATTTGAGATCTGACAAAGCTGCGCTTGAGCCAGCAAGGAGGTTCGACATCATCCGAGGAGCCTTGGCTTGCTCACACGAAACCTAAACTTAAACCCTACGCGTACATGGGCTTCGGCTTCACAGCCCTACTTGAAGGTTCATGGGTAGTCATAAGAAGGGCTACAAGTTACCCTAAATAGGGGTTCTCATACATCCTGCGCCATGGCTGCGCAGCGGGAGAGGCCCCCCCCAAGCCTTTGTGATTGTTCCCCCCCCCCCTCCCCAACCTTTGATTTGGAGGAGTTGACCAACACACGGGTTCTGAGGCAACTCCTGAAGGAGCGCTTTGGCCCTGATTTTCTGGGCTTTTTCACGGTTTCTCAGCACGGAGGAGTGGATCACGATCAACCTTTGGATCCTGCTGAGGAAGGGTTTAGGGTTTAGGGTTATAGGGTTTAGGGTTTAGGGTTTAGGGTTTAGGGTTTAAGGTTTAGGGTTTAAGGTTACAGGGTTTTGGAGTACGTACTATACTTGAATACTTTGTGCCCGCAAAATCCGCAACCGCCAAAACCACGTTTGCTATGTCGTGGAATGGCGACGAGGATGGCGTTGCAAGCTTGTTGCTGCACTTTCCGCGAGGTCACCATGTCTTGAAATGGGTTCTTCTTTGCTGCAATTGGCAATGACCACGTGAATGTTGTGCACTTGCGCTTGGAAGCCGGAGCGCCAGTGGAGTGCGACAAAACCGAAATCGCCCTGCTCATGGAAGCATGTCGGCTCGGACGTGCCGAGATGGTGCGCTTGCTGCTCTCCAGCATCGGCCCCCCACTCATTTTGTATACGCGTGACATCGCGCGAGCCAAGCCAAATCTCTCCAAAGAACTGTCAAGCAACACGTGGCAGATGTGCGGCATATGCTTTCCAACAACCCTGCCTGTGACCCTAAACGAGGTTGGCCCTTTCAGCCCTCGGGAAAATATTCCTAAATATGATTCAACTCAACATGGGGAAACATGTACACATCCCTATAAGCCCTAAGATGCCCTAAGCACCATCGTAAAAACCCAGCAGGCCTCCGCATCCAAAAGGTCGGGTCGGTTGTCTCTCAATGCCTGCCGCTCGAAAAGGGCATGTTGTCATGACTGGTTTAAGGGTTTATAAGGGTTCTGGGCTTTTCATGACTGGCGTGGAGAGTTTGAGGATTTCGGGTTCTGGGCTTTGGGTTGACTGTCAAGCAACGCTAAAGATTTGCACGCTGTAGGATCGAGTCTGAAGGGCTTGATGGCTTGAACTGCAAGGTTTAAGTTCGAGGATTCAGGGTTTGTGTGTCCTTGTGTCAAAACAGCCCATAGGATGCAGGGTTCGGGTTTGAGTGTTGAGGATTTCGCCATGGTGGGGGTGTAACAAAGCTTGGGCTCTTCAGCAGGTCTGGGCCTCTCAGCTGAGACAAAATTGAGCAAGGGTTTGAGGAAGATGTCGTTGCAGGGTTTCTGCAATTGCCATCAGTTTGCGTAGTTGTCACATGCTTTTGTTTACAGGCTAGCAGATGCTATCTATCGGACACGCTCAGAGATACCTGGCCACACATGGGAGTTTGTCTGAAAACATCATGAGACTGTGTCGGTAGGCTACAATGGTCTCTCTCTCTCTCTCTCTCTCGCTCTCTCTTGCCTTCCCTATCCTAAATTATGTCGAAAAATATATCTCCCAGACCCTGAACCCATCCCCAAACCTGCCTGGGCCTGCAGCTTGATGTAGATGAGGAGCCCTCTCGGGAAGCAGGAGCCAACACAACCTGGCCCATCGGGGAGGTTCTGGGGGCTTAGCCTTCTTCATCTCTAGCTGATTTGGCAGGTTGGGGGCCTCCAAGCAGAGCACTTTGCAGCAAGCATTGGTGTGCCCTTTCTTGTGTCCGCTTCTGGGATCAGGTCATACAGCTGTCTTGGCATAGAGACCCGCTCTAAGACTAAGAAGCTGGTGCGGTGATCACTTGCACCGCTGGTTGCCTAGTTGAGCATCAATTCACAATATGAGTAAAGCTTTACTGCTTACACAGCCAACAGTTTCAGGGCAATCTGGAGGTAGTCGCGCATGCTGTGGTAGGCAGGGAGCCTGCTGAATGTCATAACTGCTTCAGGCGGCTTCTCCGCAAGAAGTTCCTTCAACGGCGCGGCACCTTCTTTGCCACGGCAAGCCAAGCCTGAGTTCAAACTGACCAGAAGAACCTCACCCACCACGTCGTACTTCTCCAACAAATGTGCTCTGCGGTCGTCATAGTCGTTTTGAAACTGCTTGATGAGGTTGCTAGCCATGCCGACCCTGACGGTTCCGCCAAATTCTTGTTTGAGCCTTGGCAGAACATCCACTAGCCAGCTCTTGCAAAGGGGAAGCCGTGGGACTGGATCCCAATCGTGCACCCAGTGCAGCGTGATAGCGTGCAAGCGCTGCCACAACTGCCCGGGCTGAGGGGACATTGGAACCAGGACATGCGGCGAGCCGAAGGTGCGGACTGCGGAGATTCGGACATCTCGGCTCAGCAAATGCACCGCCATGACTTGCGCATAGCCTCCGCCAAGCGAGTGTCCACAGAGCACTAGAGGCTCCCCAATGCCTCTATGTCTGTCAAGCGCTTGCAAGACGTCCTTCACCACATGGTTGATGTCATCTCCTTCCTGCTCGAGGGTGTGGGCCATCCCGCCGTGCACACCTATTCCATGCTCTTTGAACTTGCCATAATCCGGCACGGCGCTCAAGTCAATCGCAGCATCTTGGACATCAGCTGTCCCACGGAAGGCGAGGTACATCGCTGCGCCCGAGCGTGCAAGGAGCCACATCACTGGGCTCTTGCTGCTGGTCTTGTGCGTGGTATGGAGGACGTTCACTTCGAAAGGCAGCACCTCTCTAAACACGGTCTCGCCCCGGAAGTCCTTGGCCAGTTCATACATGTGACCAGACCAGATAGGTTGCTTCGACGCGAGACACAGGCGGTGAATGTGTGCCGGAATCCATCTTGGGCAGACATTCACAAGAATCTTTCCTCTTCCGTGCGTTTGGATGCTGAGACTATCGTCTGCTTCAAAAATGTGGCTAACCTCAGCGTCAGCAAGGTGCACGCGGACCGCTCTATCCAAGGTGTTATGGATGGAGACAGAAGCAGCTTCCCCCTGGGGCTGTACAGCACTCGACGGATCCTTGTAATACACGGCAGAACTCAGCAATGCAGCCATCTTTGTGAGGTTGTCGGCACACAGATCCATGGGTGCCGTGAAACCAGTTGGGGCGTCTGCCCCGTAGGCGTCTGCCACATAGGACTCGGATGGGGCCGATTCCGAATTCGCCGACGCCACATCTGACTGAAGGCGGCCGGATTGGAACACGTCATCAAGTTGAAACATAGACGACATAGACCCTACAAATTTCGCCAGCAAGAAGTTTGGGGGCAGACTCTTCCGGTCCTCTTTTCTGGCACAGCAGTGGTTGAACACTCGCAGGGCTGCATGGTGGCAGTTCGAAGAGGAAAGGTCATAGAGCCCGGTGCCATCTGCTTCCTGATGCAGCTCCCTCATCTTGAGGCCCTTTTTCAAATTTCCTTCTGCCAGAGTCAGCTGCTTGCCGAAAGTCCGAACTCCTTCCACGCTGAGCAAGTTGCTGCCCATATGCTGGCTCCCAACGAAAATGCCGTTCTCCTGGTGGGCTGCCGTGGCCGCCGAGCCGGCCTTCTCCAGCACGTACCTCTTTGCTGGTTCGTCATCAGATGTGACCGTGATGATTAGGAAGGAGTGAAGGCCACCCAGCTGGCCAGCCGCGCCAGGGAGGGGCACAGTGTACCAAACAACCTCCGTCACTGGCCTCTCGTCCTCCACCATGTCCTCAAATGCATTCCCATGGCCAAACCGGCTCTGTTGGAATCCCATCCTGCTCCGCAGGAACTGATCTACCGCACGGTTGGACGCCAGGGAGAGAGGCTCTTCCCCAGCACGGTTCTTATTGCGTAACGCAAGGCCTACCTGGTCCAGCAAGCCCTTGCAGGCCTCGACATTGCCAGCCGCAGCTGCCATGTGCAGCCACGTGTTGTCATCCTTGTCTCGCCAGCTTGCGATTTGGCGTTGGTGCTGCCAGCGCTCCAAAAGGCGAAATGCTACTAACTTGGACAAAAGCTCCACCGACCGGAAACGGTCGTGATGAATCAGTACTTGTATCTCGCTGTAGCAAACGTCAAAGAAGCTAGATGCAGATCGGCCAAACCTCAAGTGTCTTTCAACCACCTCGCGTGGCGCCTGCTCTACCAAAAGCCGCAAGGCCTGGGCTCTCACATTCGAATCTTCGTCCTCCAACAGTCTGAAGATCACCTCGACATGCTTTGCGAGCTCCTTTGTTGAAGTCTTCTTCTTCAGAAACTGGAGGGCCCAGACCCGCAGCGGCGGCTCTCTCAGTAGGATCGGTACTGCCTCCCTGACACGACTTGCCAGAGCTTTTGTCGAGACCTTCTTCTCGAAGAGGCTACGGGCCGGGAACATCGTCGCTGGATCGAGCATCAGCGGAAGGAACTTCTCCAACTGCTCGACAAGCAGCTCACCTGAAATCTTATTGCCATGTGTGGTGAGCAGTTCCTGTGGCGCCTGCTCCATCAAGAGCTGCAAGGCTCTCCCTCTCACGAAGGAACCTTCACGCACCAGGAGATCCGAAATAGCCTCAATGTTCTCTGTGACTGCGTCCGGCGGATGCACTGACACTTTCGCCCTCACAAACTCCAAGGCCCAGGCCTGCAGCTGCGGCTCTCTCAGGAGGACGGGCACAATCTTCTGGGAATGTACTGCCAAGACTTCTGTCGAGACCTTGCTCTCAAAGAGACCTCTGGCAGAAAACATTGTAGATGGATCATGCAGCAGTGGGAGGAATGTCTCCAAGTTCGCGACAAGCAGGCCACTCGAGACCGTGTCCCACACTTTCATTAGCAGCAATTGCAGCACGACCTGTTTCCAGAAAGCCTCCATCCCAGCACCACAATCAGAATGAGACCCGCGGGGCGATTTCTGATAGGGCTACTCCTTTGAGCTACTGTAAACAACGTCCGAGCCAGCTAGCCACAACAATAAAACATAAAGTAGCATGATGCTCGCGCCCTCACCCCGTCACACAAAGTTTTCCCCAAGACCCTAAACCCTAAACCCCAAACCCTAAACCCCAAACCCTAAACCCTAAACCCTAAACCCTAAATCCTAAACCCTCTGCAACTGCTAGTGACGGCCCTCCATGGCATGACGAGCGGACAAACAATGGAAGCCCCTCCCGGAGCTGCGAGGCCATGACTCCCATGGCGAGGCCATGACTCTAGGGTTGGAACCATGGGGCCCTTTGGAATGGTCCCTTACCCTTGTTCACAGGGTTTAGGGTTTAGGGTTTAGGGTTTCGGGTTTAGGGTTCAGGGTTTAGGGTCCTTGTTCATAGAGATTCGAAGAATGAGCCCTTAGTACGTATAGTGTCTATAAGGGTTACATTACAAGGGACCCAAAGCAAGTCCCTAAACCCTAAACCTAAACCCTTAAATACCTATCCCCAAAGAGCTCCCAAGCACCCACAGGCTCCAACGTTTAGAAAGGTTCAGACAGAGTGATCGGGTTTAGGGTTTAGGGTTTAGGGCTTTCAAGTCCACAGCTTCTAGGCCATATCCCTTGGGATGCTCCCCCTTCTACTAGCAGCTCCGTAAAAGGGATTGTAGTATCCCTTAGTATAATCCCTATTAAGCCCTACATAGGGATTATAGAACCCCCTACCATACTAATCAGAATCTGAGGACTGTTAGTACAAGGGGAAACATCCCAACATATCGCCCCCAAAGTCTAGGAAGCTTCAGCCTGCAATAGGGACTGGGTCTTGTGGCTTTTACAGGGTAGGGTTATTTTAGCGGTTTAGGGTTTAGGCGGTTTAGGGTTTAGGATTAGGGTTTAGGGTTGGGGGCTTTTGGTACGTACAAGTGTAAGCTTTCGAAATTGCCTGCAGCTGCTCGAATCTGTTCGTGATGGAACCCGTCGCGAGCTGTTGGCCGCCACCCGCCGAAGCAGTGGATGTCTCCTAGCCGAGAGTCTTGCGGCCAAGGCAAGTTCAACCATTTGGGGTTCCATTCAATCACCCACTACTGTTCACTGCTGTTTTCTTCTAAATCATGAACTCGAAACCCAACCCTAAGCTCATACGCCCAAAATTGCTACAGGTGGTGGTTGAAAATCTGAGTTTCAACTTTGGGTTTGTTGTTGCAGGGTTAGGTTTCGGTTTAGGAATCTAAGCAGGGTACTCTTTCGCTTTTTCTGGCAGGGCGCGAACCATGCTTGAGTTTCGGCATTTGGAGGACGACTGTTGAACACTTTGCATCACTTTGCTGCCCTCAGTATCAGTAGCCTCACTTCGAGGTTGGGGGTTAAGATAAGTATGGTTCTAATGCAACACAAATTTGCAAATATGGTCTTGGTCTCGATTATCACCTTGACTGATTCAGGGCACTTGAAACACTTAAAACTCATAGCTACCCCTGAACCTTCGCACCCCAAACTCGAACTGCCCAATCCTAACTGTCTTTCGTGTTTCTGTTGTTCCTTTTTCTGTCTCTGAGTCTCTCTCCTCTTCTCTGTCTCCTGGGTGCAGGTTTCAGACTCGTCTCCCTGAGCTTCGAGATGCCAGGAGGCGAAGGCGGTGAGGCCTCTTGAAGTCTTGGGAGTACACTTCCTGGGCCCATGGCTCGGGTTTGCAGGTTAGGGACTTGGCGTTTGGCTTTTGGCCATAGGGCTGGGGCCGACGAGCTTCGGGTTTCGAGCTTTCGGGTTTCGAGCTTCGTTTCAGGAGTCCCGCCAAGCGTCTCCCTGATGACCGCCACCACCATCCACAACTGCTTCGTGGGTATCACTGGCCACCGTGCGACGGATCAATAGTCTTCCAGAAGCAATCAACGCCGACCGGGTTGATCAGGCGGCCTGGAACACCAGATATCGTACCATCTTCACATTCTCCCGATCTTCAGGCGTATCTGGCATGTAAGCCTCGGCCTCCGAGCAGTAGATCCTGCGCCAACCAGCAAGCCCAAGGCCTGGGGACTCGAACGCCCGAGCGGAAGATCGGCACGAGTGCACGTCGGCATCCCAAAGAGTGTCACGGTGCGTGAAGATCACGTGCCCACCGGGTGCGACCACCCTGCACCATTCCCGATAGACTACGTCGAAGCACTGGATGTAAGAGAGGACCCCAACACACACCACAGCAGAGAAGCACTTGTCGGGAAAAGGCAGAGGCCCTTGGGAGCCCTCTAGATCCCAGCAGGCAACGGAGCTGTAGAGGCGCTTCCCTTCACAGATCCGCAACATCTCCTTGCTGACGTCGACACCCACCAGCGAGCTGAAACCGGCAGCGGCCAGGGCCTCCCCACTCAAGCCAGTGCCACAGCCGGCATCGAGCACGGGCAGCGGCCGCGCAGCCCCAACGCTCTGGAAGCTCTTCAGCAACGAAGCAACCCGGGCCGGGGAACGGTAGTCCCAGCATCGGACGGTGTCGTCATAGCTGGCTGCCCAGCGGCCGTATAAGTCCAGGGCGCCTTTGCGAGTCTTCGGTGTATGGCCAAGGCCAGGTACACCCGGCACTTGGCTGCAGAAGCCGCGGGCCGAGCTTCGGATGAAGCTGCCACAGCGGCCGTGCATTTCGTTCGGGAAGCTTATGAAAACAAAACTTGCGGAGTCGAATATGGCGACACATAGGATGGATCCGCAGACTACCTTCCCCTCCAATACAAGCAAGCAAGCATCAGGAGGTCGCATGCCCTCATGAGTCCCTGCAAGAGACCCCAAGACTGTGCTGACATGAAAAATCGGAACGCCCAACAAAATTGCTCAATCCAGTAAAGCTGGCATCTACTTGGAGGCTCATGGGCAGTAAGTAGGGTAACTATACTTGTAACCTTACTTCGGGTACTTGTAACACTAATTGTAGCTACCCATGAACTTGTTGCAATTCTCCGGCTGGAGCATAACTTGCACACAAGGGTCCCTTCACTATTGGAGACTCTCGGGGTACCGCTGCTGCTACAGCAGTGCGCGTGCGGAAGTGTGCAACGGATGTGCCAGGGAAGGATGGGGTTGAGGGTTTGGGGGTAAGGTGTTCTTCGTACTATTGCAACGTCTGGTTGTTCTTGAGGTCTGGGGCGATGCTACTGTTCCGTTGGGTTGTTGCTGGGTGGCGTCACGGTGTCACCATGTGCTCTCCTGCGGCCCAGACTGAATTCAGAACGATCTGAGGCTTCGAATCCTGGAGTGCCCTTACAAGGCCTGCCATGGGAGTTCTGAAGCACTTGACCCGCAAGTTAGAGGCATTTAATTTAGGGTTTAGGGAAGATATGGTTAACCATATGTAGGGTGGATGTTCAGCCTGAGAAGCAGGCGACCAAAGATTTTAATGAAAGAAGGAACCGTGAGTCAGGGCTCAGGAGTTGCGGGGAGATCAAGCTGTTAAGTAGCTACACCTATAGTTTGGGATGCTCCCCCTTTTACTAACAGTCCTTGATACGGATTACAGTAGGGGGTACCTTCATCCCTGTTCAGGACTGTTAGTATAAGGGGGGAACATCCCAACCCTAAACCCTAAACCCTAAAACCCATAAAGGCCCTAAAACCCTTAAACCTTAAACCCTAAACCCAAAAACCCAAAACCCTAACCTATAGGTTACTTGCCCGTTGATTGGCATTTGCCAGGAGCCCAGTCGTTCCGTGCGACGCTCGATCTTGTGGAGCCACTGATCACGAGGAGTTGAGGGCTCTGGGGGATGCAGGTTCCTAGGGTTTAGGGTTAAAGGTTTAAAGGTTTAAAGGTTTAAAGGTTTAAGGGTTTAGGGTTTAGGGTTTGGGGCTTAGGGCACCTCGAGCAAGTCATATGAGGGGTGGGCGGGCTCAACTGCAGATCTCTTGCCATCTCCTGCATCAAGCAGCCACTTGCAGTTAGAACTGTCTGAGGGAATCCTGGCGCGCCTTTCTGCAGGAGTACATTTTAATGAGGCGCCTAAACCCTAAACCCCAACCCCTTGAGTTCTCTTGAAAGTAGACAAACCCTCCACCCCAAGATTCGGACTGCAGCCTTTGATTGGAACGTTTGGGTGCGGACTGAGACGCCCAAACGCCCAAACTAGCAGCATCCAGGATGTGTGGGGGCTAGTTCCACCCCCCAAAAACCTCCGCAAACACTTCTCAGGTTGAATCCTAAACCCTAAACCCTAAACCCTAAACCCTAAACTTTCCTAAACCCTAGACCCTAGACCCCTAAACCCTAAACCCTAAACCCTTAGCCACCTATATACAGGGTTTATGGTGCAATCGCTGCTCGGCAGGAGAACGCGGCAACCACGACTTCTCAGAGACAGGATCCATGCCGCTATTTGCCCCAAAGGGTTTAAGGCTCAGGATTTTATTTCAGGGGGGTTGCGGGGTTTGACTATTGTCCAGGGGTGAGACGGAAAGGATTGAGAGAGGAGCTGCAGGGTAGAGGGCCTAGGGTTTGGGGTTGCGATCCTTGGATCCAAGCTGAGCGAGGGGAGGGAACTGCACACCCTAAACGCAGGAGGTGCCCTTCGGCAAGACATCGGAGCCTGTGATCCCCAAACCCTAAACCCTAAACCCTAAACCCTAAACCCTAAACCCTAAACCCTAAACCCTAAACCCTAAACCCTAAACATCCCAAAGCCAGGATGCCCCACATCCAGCCTAACAAGATCGCCCCAGCCTTAAGCCCTGCACTCCATCGACACAACATCGGAAAACCCTACAAGCAACTCCAAGCCCAAAAGAGACAATCAACAACCCTAAGCCCAAAAAGGCCTAGACATTCCTAAACCCTGAAAGCCATAAAGCCCTAAACCCGAAACCCCAAACCCTGAACCCTAAAACCCTAAACCCTACACCCTAAAGCCTAAACCCTAAACCCCCAAGAGCAACTTACAGGAGACCTCCGGACTGCTAAATGCGTGCGCCAGCCGGAGCGACGATGCAGTAAGGCGGCATGGAGGGTTTGGGGGTTTAGGGTTTAGGGTTTAGGTTTAGGGTTTTGGGTTAGGGTTTTGGTTTAGGGTAAGGGTTTAGAGTTTAGGGTTTAGGGGCTTGGGGTTTAGGGTTTAGGACGGGCCTGGCCCGGCCCTAAACCCTCTTTAGGTGAAGATATTGTCTCCAACTGCTAAGGACCTAAACCCTACTTGAGGTTCATGTGTAGATATACATGGGGTTATAAGCAGGGTAACTATACTTATGACTGGTTCTAACCTTATTTAAGGCGCCATGTACCTACAGTTTAGTAGTAACTACCCTTAACAAGTAGGTATAACCCATAAAACTGTAGGAAAAGCGGGTCCCAGTCCCAAGTAGAACTTGCAAGACAAGTTTTGAATCAAGACGTCGAGGCTTTCGAAGATTGCAGGTTTGAATTGGTTGGCGGTTGGGGGTTTAGGGTTTAGGGCTTCGGGTCTAGGGTTTAGGGTTGCGGTTGCTGCTTCCGCTCCTGGCTCTCGAGACCAATTTGAGCAGGAATTCCATCTGATCCAGCTCAGGGTGGTTGAGGGTTTTGGGTTTTGGGTTCGAAGTCTGTGGGTGCTGAGCTGATGATGTGATGCATCCCTCTTACGAGACCTTAAATTAGGATTTGCTGCAAGAAACCCCCAAAGAGCTCTAAACAAGGTGGCGATCACTGCAACCAACGGCTCCTCCTAGTTGCAGTGTTCAATAGACCCTAAACCCACAACCCAAAACCCCAAACCCCCCAAACCCCCCAAACCCCCCAAACCCCCCAAACCCCCCAAACCCCCCAAACCCCCCAAACCCCCCAAACCCCCCAAACCCCCCAAACCCCCCAAACCCCCCCCCCCAAAAACCCCCCAAACCCCCCAAACCCCCCAAACCCCCCCAAACCCCCAAGACCCCCAAACCCCCCAAACCCCCCAAACCCCCCAAACCCCCCAAACCCCCCAACCCCCCAAACCCCCCAAAACCCCCCAAACCCCCCAAACCCCCGCAAACCCCCCACCCCCCAACCCCCCAAACCCCCCAAACCCCCCAAACCCCCCAAACCCCCCAAACCCCCCAAACCCCCCAAACCCCCAAACCCCCCAAAAACCCCCCAAACCCCCCAAACCCCCCAAACCCCCCAAACCCCCCAACCCCCCCCAACCCCCCCAAACCCCCCCCCCCCAAACCCCCCAACCCCCCAAACCCCCCAAAAACCCCCCAACCCCCCAACCCGCCCACCCCCCAAACCCCCCAAACCCCCCAAACCCACCCAAACCCCCCCAACCCCCCAACCCCCCAAACCCCCCAAACCCCCCAAACCCCCCAACCCCCCAACCCCCCAAACCCCCCAAACCCCCCAAAAACCCCCCAAACCCCCAAACCCCCAACCCCCCAAAACCCCCCAAACCCCCCCCCCCAAACCCCCAAAACCCCCCAAACCCCCAAACCCCCCCCCCCCAAACCCCCAACCCCCCCAAACCCCCCAACCCGCCAAACCCCCCAAACCCCCCAAACCCCCCAAACCCCCAAACCCCCCAACCCCCCAACCCCCCAAACCCCCCAAACCACCCCAAACCCCCCCCCAACCCCCCCCCCCAAACCCCCCAAACCCCCCAAACCCCCAAACCCCCCCCCCAAAAAAACCCCCCCCAAACCCCCCAAACCCCCAAACCCCCCAAACCCCCCAAAAAACCCCCCCCCCCAAACCCCCCAACCCCCCAACCCCCCAAACCCCCCAAAACCCCCCAAACCCACCCAAACCCAAACCCCCCAACCCCCCCAACCCCCCAAACCCCCCAAACCCCCCAAACCCCCAACCCCCCAACCCCCCAAAGCCCCCCCAAACCCCCCAAACCCCCCACCCCCCCAAACCCCCCAACCCCCCAAACCCCCCAAACCCCCCAAACCCCCCCAAACCCCCCAAAAACCCCCAAACCCCCCCAAACCCCCAACCCCCCAAACAAACCCCCCAAACCCCCCAAACCCCCCAAACCCCCCAAAAACCCCCCAAACTCCCCAAACCCCCCAAACCCCCCAAACCCCCTAAACCCCCTAAACCCCCTAAACCCCCTAAACCCCCTAAACCCTAAACCCCCTAGACCCGTTTTAGGGCTTCTGGTTCAGGACGCAGGTGGATCCGTGGAATCCATAGCCCGAGTTCTACAGCGGATCATGGGTGCAGAGGTTGATGGGCCCTGAAGGCCTAGGAGGTCGGGGAGAGGTCCCCCCAGCTCTGGCTTTTGAGGGTTTAGGGTTTAGGGTTTAGGGTTTGGGGTTTAGGGTTTAGGGTTTGGGGTTTGGGGTTTGGGGTTTAGGGTTTGGGGCTTCAACTTGGGTCCTAGAGGCGGCACAAGTATACCTTTCAAGGATGGGCGTTTACGGCGTTTACGGTTTTAGGCTTCAGGGTTTGAGCGTGGGCCCCTAGCCTATAGCTACATGGGCCTGCTACAAATTCTGCAAAAGGTTCTCGACGACGATTCCCCGCGAAAGACAACTTGGGCCTATACTTTGGATAAGCCAGAACCCTAAACCCTGAACCCTGAACCCTAAACCCTAAACCCTGAACCCCAAACCCAATGGCCATCTGGGGGCACCTCCTTGGGTTGGTGGGTCGTTACGGGACTGCTTGGGGCTCGTCGGCTCTTTAGAAGCATATGGGA